ACAATATTATTATATATATAGTGGCCGTCTCGGACAAACACGAGAGATATTCAGTAAGGTGCATGACACATCGTGGCGAGTCGCCAGGGTGAGAGAGAGAGAGAACGGGTCGCGCTATCTTGGACGTTCACGTTGGTTCAGAGGTCAATCAATTGAAAAGAGATGAAAAAAGGACGATGTGGTGTTAACGGCGCCCTAATGGTCCCGCGTTATAATTGAAACGACAATCTTTATTGTGGCAATTATTCCCGGTCGGGTAATAGGTTTTTTACGAGGCGAACGTTTATTAATAGACATCGACCAGTTTCCTTCGCGGCTCGCGGATTGCACCAGCCTGGTCAACAATCCTTTCCTATCGTGTGGAATCGTGTCAGGTCACGGAGAATATTCCGGGGTAGAGAGTGCGACGTTGTATCGCCCGATCTATGGCTGGCTGTTTCCGCGAACAACATTGGCCGCTTCTAAGCTGGAGCCAACGTTCGGCATCCTAACTCTCTTATTCCGAACGGACAGGCTATCTCTTGGTGCTGAGTCACACTATAAGTCCTTCGTAGACGACGATAAAAAGAACGAGACGTTGCAAGTGTTAGTTATATTTTTGATACGATGATTGAAGAGTATGTGGACCCCTTTAGGTTTTAAATTAGGTCTCCTCATCGTTATTCTTTTGTTGACTTCACGATGGGGGATCTAATCTCTAACCTAACTTCGAACTTAAGTGTTATTAAGTTTCGATGTTTACGAAAATAAGTCGAGTTTCAAAGACTTGGTGATGTATCTAGGTTAACACGACATTTTCAGGTTAAAAAAATTGCTTTCGCCATATTCGGGGACCAGCCACTATAATACAACTATAAGTAAATCGTATAACCATAGACGAGTCTCGTAAGTGTTAGGGCATTGCTGTCGAACGTTTTGGAGACGTATTCTGTAGCGATTCGCGGTATCGATAAAGAGCTATCGAGCAAGTAACTAATTTAGCCTTGTGTGCCACGCACAATCAGCTTTTTACCGCAAAAATCTCGATCGTCGAAACAAACGATGAGTCATCGATGCATCAACTGGTCGTGATCTCGTTCGCTATAACTAGATAAAGCAGGATCCAAAAATCATTAGAATATTTGGAAGAATTAATTACGTTTAATATAAAGGGAATTACAGAAAGAGATTTGCAAAAAAATCGTGTAGAATTGCAAGGACACTGGGCGCAGGAATTTGTCGAAATTTTCTGCGCATATTTCTCGCGCATGCGCGGCAGATTTAACCTCCCCGGCACGAAAACCCCGAAGGGACAGTAAAATCGTGTTGTGAAAACGTTGATGGGCGTTAAGATTAGTATTTTTATCTTGGCCGAATGAATATTCTCGTTCTCTCGCCCCGAGCAGCTTCCGTTATGTCGTTTATGCAACGTATCGTAGATTTCTGAGATATGTCGCGTCCCGTTCGACGCCGTACGAAACTTCTGGGCCCGATTACGATATTCCTCCGGATAATTTTAGAACATTTTTCCCCAGATATCCAGTCTTCTTTCATCTAAATTTACGGTGTTGTAAATCTCATTTACGATCATGCACAAAGGCGTCGCGCCGCCCTCATAAAGTGCTTCGCCGTTGCATTTCCGGTGCTTTCGGGGTCTATAATAGCAACACAATTATTTAGTCCGTCTGCTCGCATAAAATCGAAATAATCTAAAAAATTGCAAGCCTATAAAACCCTTTGAAACGACCAAGGGGTTGATAATAATATCCCTGGTTTTACGAATAGACCGTATTCTGATAGTTTGAAACCAATATACCTAACCTTCGTCAGACGGCGCCTCATTATCTCGAGAATCCTTTCCTCGAGGCTGGGAGGGGAGCTGAAGTCGTCGATTACAAATAGATCCATAGTTCTTGGCCGATATCAGCAGCAGGCCTCGTGCACGGATCGAAAACAAAATTCGACAACCCTTCCCGCTCTGTCTCGATTTGTTTACGATGCAGCGACAGTTATTTTTTGTTCTCCCCCTCGCCGAATCGATCTATTAGGGAATTCCTTGTTATCTTATCCGACCAGGGGCGAGCTCGTTCGGGGGTCGATCCCTTGGAGATGGACAATCATCGATTTATCCATTAATCGGCCGGCGAAACTGGCAGGCACATTTTTTCGGCTGTCGCGGCTTGGCGGGGGCGACGATAACCGATAAGGGCCGCGAGTTACACGCCGATAACCTCGCGGAACTCTCATGAGGTCACCGGGGAGCGGCACGCTTTCCTCCTACACGGCCGACTTCGTGGCGTCTATATTTAGATTATCAATGGCCAGCTGGATATACCAGGAAACACGGGCGCGTTTAGACGAAACCGACCAGGAATTCCTGGAAATCGGACTTTCGGTGACGAGTCCGATCCCGAGATAGATTCGCGACAACTCGAAAACAGAGTCTCGCTACGCTGTAACGACCACTCGTGGAACTGGATGACAGGGTATCCTTTTCGGGATGAAACGGTGCCAGAGATTTATGGAGCTATGCATTTCTTGATGATTGCATGAATGACGCGAGGAGGCCAGATTGGAGGAAGAAGCTAGAGGTTGGGATGTATGATGAACGAGAGAGTGGAAGTTCTCCGTTAAAGAACATGTTCTATGTCCTCATTTGGTGGGGATAAATAGTTGACCACCTGGGTGATACTACTGCTATGTGAGAATCTTTCAGACAATTGTTCAGTCAAATATACTTAATAAACTGGATGGTACAAGTTCTAAGTCTTCTTGATATGACTGGCTGACCTGCTCAACTGAAGCTACTTAACAAAACGACTAATTGGATACGAGAGGATGTTCCGTATCCATATTTAATTAGAAAAGTGGTTTCCCAGTAAAAAAAAACAACTCTATACCTGTATGGTACCCAGGTCTATCAATGAAGTATCTAGGCTGTTTGTCAATTCTACATTTGGTTAAACAATGACCAATCGGCTGGATAGACGAATTCTACGTTTGTGCTAGATTTGTTACACCCGATTAACCGGACAGAGGCGTTCTGGTTGTATCTTTTGGAATGTTTTTGAGGACGAAAGTCACAGCCAGACCGTGATAAGACAGCGACGATATTGAACAAAAATAAAAATACTCCGCACGGACACCGAGTCTGCAAGAGGCCGCGGAAGTGTGCTGGTGCTTAATGTAGATCACGTGACCAGCCATCGCCATTTGAGATCACGTGTCACTAGCCGATCAGGTGATCGGTAGGAGCCCCCTGCACATAATTGGGACACGACCTGACCAATTGGACGATGCTCCATATCAGTATTCCGTTGGAAGAATACTTGATCCGGTGTACAATAGCTCGATATCTACACTCCTCGTGCACAGTTTGTCATTCGTTAACCCTTTCGCGAAGAATTAATACTGCGAACGGATTATATTTATCCGTCTGAATTTCATTCTTAAGTATACGTGTCACGTTCCTCGAGACGATATCTTGCAGCGTCAAGAACCTATCAGATCACACTGACGCTTTTATCGCTACGAAACGAGACTCCGACCGAACAATGATTTATTTATAAGATCATTTATCAACGTATCCTGCCGCCCAAATGGTTCAGGTATTTTCCCACAAACTCCTTAGTTTCTGTGTCGCTAACTGTGGACTCTGTGGCACGATAAAAATTCCAATAAACATCCGCAAACTAGTTAGGGGCCTGACAGATCGTCACAGCTTTGCGATACAATGGGGAGATAGCGTCGTAACACGATGGATTCGCTTGTATCCCTAACTTTCGTGCAAAAAGCGAGGCACCGCCCGCGTAGACCCCCGGACAACTTAATTGAAATCGATGCCTGTTGCTAATAACTTATCGCCCCGTTATCGGCCAGCCGGGAGACGCTCGCGCTCGCGGCCCTGTCGACGATTGAATTTCCATCGGCGAAAAGTGCGTCGAACCACGGGGGGAAATCTCAGAAGCGCCACGCGTGACTCACACACGTCGTGTATCTGCGAACGGCGCACTCAAAGTGCGACGCGTAACGGCTCGATAAAAGAACCGCTCGCGTCTCCGCTCTTACATAAAAGTTAACAAACGATCTCGTCGACGTCGCGTGCCGTCCAGGTCCTTGCGGGGACCGCGAGACGCCCGCGGTGCCGCGACGCCCGGTTTTATTCCATCCCAGGACTACGGCCAGCGAATTGCGAAACGGCTATTAAAAGTCTGACCTACCGACACTGATACGAAGCGTCGTGATTAGGACGTGTAACGACCTTTCGCGGTCCGCGTTCCTGGCGCCAGCGCTGGAACGTCTGACACCCAGGAATCCACGTGATGCAACGGTGCACGACTGCCTGCGACCGTTTCAAACCGTTTCGTATCTTTTCAATCAGATGTTCGTTCGAAACTGTTTGACTCGGTTGGAAGCGGTTTGTACCGGTTTGAAACAGTTTGCCCTGGTTTCAAGCTGTTTGTCTTGCACTGAAAATCGTCAAGGGAGGTGTTCCGAGTTGGATGTCGACGCGTTGACGATTGAATTTGTAAGAATGCATAAAAGTGTGTGGAAGATTGCACAAGCGCATACACAAGAAATTTTGTAATTACTCTTCCACACAGGAATCCCAATGAAATTATACAGTTTTCTAACAAACCATTCCCGGGTTACAAATGAAAATAGAGGCCAGCATACATGCATACACATATACCTACGCATACAAAATTTGATTAATTCCCGAGAAAGTATAAAGGAATCGATCTATTTTGCCGGTAAACAAATATGCTGTGGAGCACCTCACAGTCTACAAACAATAAATCATTGACGTCTTGCGCGTCTAAAAGTATCGGGTTCGGGGCGAGAGCCATGAAAATGACAAAACGTCATCGATCGGTTTGTTTACCGAGCACGGTTCGTCGACGTAAAGGGGATGCTTGAAGGATGCGTGCGTAGTAATGCGTCTATTGAGTATTATCGAGCTCAAGAGAGGGTTCATAATCGATGAGACGCCCCGGAGGGAAAACAGTGACCGTCAAGTCATGGAGAGGTTCAGTCCGCCAGCGGCTTCGCTGAAGAAAAGAATCAGTCCACCGATCGCGTGGAACCTGGGCCTCACCAGCAAGGAGCCGAGGATCATCAAGGTGATCCTGCTGGGCCATCAGGGCGTTGGCAAAACTGGTAAGAGACTTCTACCAAAAGTGTCTGAACCTGCGTTAGGTATAGATGCCTACATTAGGTATAATATCAGAGGTTTTCTAATCACTGTCACTATTCGAGTTTTAATATCACCTGGTTACTTGCCTGAAGATACTTTAAGATGTGAGTTGAAGTTCTAGACTCCTACTTGATTGGAAGAGCAAGTGATCTGTTAGATGAGGATGTTCTAATGATTGGCCCAAAGATTAACGCTCGTTTCAGAGGAAACGATCACATCTTTCAGACGAAAGAGAAGGAGAAGGTTATAGGTGGAATAATTATGGAGTTTGAATACAGGAAGAATGGTCAGGTGGTTGGTAGAAGTTCTACACCCCTGTTTGAACGATAGAGTAACTGATCTGTTGGATAAGGATGTTCCATATGGGCTGGCAAGTCTGTATCTGTATTTGATTGGGAAATAACTGATTATGGGATTTCTAAATTTGGATTAGAACCAAATTTATGTCTGTATTTTATTGTTAGATTCTTCAGTTAGGTCTAGAAATCTATACCAGTATCTAATCGGTAATACAAATTTACCTGGTGGATGGGTGGTATTGGGGCATATATAAGACACTTAGCTTTCTGAGGATCATAGTGTTTGTCTGAATAAGTAAAAAACGAAACCAACTGGTATAACTCACATTTAATAAGATCCTTATGCTTATCCTGATCATACTAAAGGAGTAGCTATGAAACTATTGCTTGAGATTATAGTGTAGTCAACAAGTGACACTCTTAAAAAGTGGAGTCCAGGGATCTTAATTTGTTGAGCTGTTCCTAGATGTTTATTATACATGCTGATCAGAAGATTTACATATTAAATTAAGGTACATCAATATTTTGATGTATATTAACCCCTTTGAGGGAAGGATCTGAAATTCGATACATTGTGGCGCATGAAAAGAGAATAGGGTAAGGGTCGCGGTCAGAGAAAGTGAAGGTGACACGGAAAAGCGACGAAGAAAACAGCGACGGGGGGTGTGAAGTCTAAATATGGCCAAGGATGGAATGCTCTGTAGTAGCTGGTGTTGCGCTGTCAATTACTTAGAACAGGGATGACGCTGAATATCTAATCAATAACGACACTTGGATCATGGAATCCGGTGGAGGCTATTTTTAAATACAGTAAAACCACCATTCTCTAAACTAAAAGAACTGTTTACTTTTTCTTTTTTTACTTCAATGATTTTATATTTAAGATAAGAAGACGAAAATAATACCATTTCTTTCTGTCTTAAAAAATAAACAACGGGAACATCCGAATTCTGGCTTTGGAGAACGTGTATTAGAAATGTTTTGGAGGAAATCAATACTTCTTACAGCGGACGCAAAACGACCACGCAATGACGTCGACTCAAAATCCTAAATATGGCAGACAATTATTAGAAAGAACGAAGTCATTAATAGAAAGTCTCTACCGTAATGACGAGATAAGGAAAATAATATTCGGGAATAGGTCCAGAGTACATATTCAGAAAAGATTGGTCTTGAGTAATCCGAGAGAGATTTATATATCTTTTAAAGAAGCACATTTGATAGATAAAGGTCGGCTTTAGCGGATGTACCACTTTGTGGCCGGAGGAATGTCTCTTTATATTTAATTTGTTGTATCGTTTACCTAACTATTAACTATATTTTTGTTAAATCCAATTTTTAAGAATTTATTTTCTATATTAGATTTGCATATTTATATATAAGACATTGCAAAGTAACCTTTGCTAAAATTACTATGCACGTGGTCAGTAAAACCCATTTAAAAGTATAAATAGCGCCATTGAAGTTGTGAGATTAGCTGATTCCATTCGTAGACTTCGATCAAATAATATGGCGTGAGAGCGATATGATCAGCCAAGCATGGCTATTAACAGCTCATTATAACGTTAATTGCAAACTAGCAATCCTACACATAATCGTTTTCTATAAAAAAAAAAGCTTGATAAATATGGTCATATTTCTACAGATTTCCTGGGTAGATTCAAACTCAGCAAATCGATGACTTAAAGTCTCCACCATTTTCCACGAATTACATTTTACTTAAATTATCGTAATATCGATTAGCCTTAGAAATTACTATAGAAGTTTAACAGCTATTATATTCATTTTTATTTTGTTATCACACTGTTTAGAATCGACTCGTTGCGCCAATAGAAATCGAAAGATCCTTTTCCATTTTGCAATCCGTGGTCTCGTTATCGAGATACGAGCAGGTAAATGTTACTGACGCGATTCCTGGTACGTGCTATTTATATCATAGTCAGCTGATCGTGCGCCGCGCGCATACACGCATTCCCACACACGAGACACGTGTCCACGGGCGTCCACGCGCGTAAGTACTTTACCTGCCTATATCTCGATAACGGGGCATCAGATTACAAAACGGCAAAGGACATTTTCATTCCCCTTGAAACAAAGAATCGTCCCCCAAGAAAAATTTCACAGTTACGCCAACACCTCTACAATTCCCCACATTCGTGCTTCGCTATTGATCAACGCGTATGAATCACATCGTGTAATGATTAATACCTGATTTTTCTCACGTAATTAACATTACTCAGAGATGGAAGTTTCAAAGAAGACGGAAACGTTTTTAATACTGATAACTTTAGTATTTCCAATACCCACGTCTTTTATTTTTATTGCACTTTCTGGGTTTCGTTATCAACCCTAAATCGTTCCGTTTCGATGGCATCGTTAGTTGTAAACACACACGCTGACAGTATTGTGCTAAACTGTGGTACTGTACAAGGACTAGCCACGGCGGGGAGCTGGAGAGATTGACCTGGTTGGAATTCAGGTTCAGCGGTTAGAATTTTTAGAAAAGGTTATCTCTATTGGTCAAGATTTCGTATCGCGTAAACAATTAATAGCACTACTATCGTGAAAACGTACTTTATGGTGGTAAAAAAAATAGATTCCTCTCGGATCGTGTACGCTGCTCCGGGGGAGCGGGGAGGGCAATCTTTACAGTTCACGTACACGCGTGAAAGATTGTTAATAATAAGAAATCGTGGACTATTTTCAGCCCTGGCCGTACGGTTCGCGACGAAACGTTTCATCGGCGAGTACGACGGCTCCACCGAGAGGATTTACAAGGTGGACAGCTTCCTGGACGCCTCGTGGGAGCTAACCGACCCGCCAGGATTCCTGCCGCCCCCAACAGAATTCAAACTTCGATTGGCGGACGCTATAATCCTCATTTACTCTGTGTCGGACCGGGTCAGCTTCGACGAGACTTCTCGCCTACGGTGAGGGGATTAAGAATTATTTAGGTGAATTGTACAACATTTCGCTCGATCTTCGTTCAGCTCTTTCGCAAAAAGATATTTTTGGATCGTTCGAAAGAGGAGGGAAGCACAGCGGGGTTACGAGGTGTCTCACGAGGCGTCGAGAAACTTTTCCAGCTTGGTTCACAAGTGATTCCGTACCCAAAAGGTCATACACCCTGTGGGTCTATGTCCATTCATTATCGAGATAAGCCATATTTAGTATCTCAGGCTCGTGGATGTCAAGTGTGACGGTACGAGCTGGCTATTGATAACCACGGATACTATCTACGACAACCAGTCTACTTCGGTGTTTTGACTGTGGGTCTGGGTAGAATCAATTGGCCACTCAAGGTCACTACCAACCCCCCACTGCCTTGGATAGACCCTCTTTCCGCTCTGCGCCAATTTATTCTACCGAATAAGAAAGAAATTCTATACGAGAGAGTGGGGGGGAACGCTCTCGATGACCTTGGTCGGTCGTACAATGCACAACGCGCGTCTAAAGCCGTGTTTGCAAGCGCAAGGACCCCAATTCACACGGCTGGTGGTGTTTGCTTCAGATTTCTGGTGTCCCACGCGAGGAAAACCAGGAAAGTACCACCGGTGGTGATCCTAATAGCGAACAAATCGGACCTGTCGTACACCCCGGGCGAAAGGGTGGTCTCCACGTCGGAAGGGCGTCAAAGGGCCGAGGAGATCGAGGCTCACGCGTTCCACGAGATCTCCGTCAGGGAGTCCGTCGAACAGGTAACCGTTTCAGCGTGTCGCACCTCCCCGAACGTCGACGGTTGACGTAGCCCCGAATGACCTCAAATATTGGAAGATGACGCAGCGACGCGTCATCGGTCCCGAATGTCCCCGAAACTTTCTGGTATCTCCGCGACCGGTAGTAATCTAAGACCTCGTGGTCGCGAAGCTTTTCTGTAATTTCTCCGTCTGCATCCCGGGATCGCGGAAACGGAGGGGGAAATCGGATTTCGCGAATCGTCCGGGAATCGTCGGTCGGTTCGCCTTCAATCGCCCCGTCGGCGTTATTTTTCTAAACGGAGTGTTTACTCCTCCGTGAGCGCGGTCATGGCGTTTACGCGTGATCGTGAAGTCGTAAACAAAATCTGTATCGCGACGCGGGGACGCGCGATACCCACGAGTACATCGATACACGATCCGTCGTTATCAGTACCGTAATGTGTCCGTAATTAAAAATTTGTTTCACAATTAATTAACCGTCCCGCGGACGAATTTTGCCGGTCGGAGCTATCAGCGACGTTCTGCACCGAGCACTCCCTCCCCGTCGACTCGTCATTTTCTATCCGCCGTCGTCGTCCAATCCCTTTGCAATCCACACGATTCGAGCCTCCGTGAATAGTGTACGAACGATTTGTCCCCAGTGTTGTACGTGCACGCGTTATAGCGGCATAACGAGCCCGCGCTGCCCGTTGGCGATCGCTCGCGCGAAGTTTAGAAGGGAGGGTTCACGGAGGATGGAAGGGTCGCGTTAATGACGATCGTCGTACCACGTGCTGCGAATACTTGTCGGGGGTTCGAACGAGAAAACGGCACGAGTGATAATGCCCGGAGCGATTTTAACGTAGCCTGTGAGAAAAATACTCAGCTCATAGTGGCTGAATAGATAATCTCGCGAGGTTATGTAACGATAGCAGAAACTGGCCCGATTATTTTTATTCGACAGGTCATGGCCGTTTTCACCGACATCTTCAAATTGTTGACGGAATTGCCGGGCAATTCTGGCCAGCAGACGAGTTTCTTCAGGGTGAGGGCATCCACGGACGGCACGCTGAACGCTCTTCGTCGCCCCTCGCCCGTCCCCCTCAAAAGACGATTCAGCATCTCCGTACGTGGGACGATACACTGATCGCCCGAGGATCAACGACTTTTGGTTACGAAAACGCGTTTTTTTTGTTTTCTTTATCGAGTCGCTGTCCCACTTAGCTCGTGAGAAAATACCACGAAAATAGGGAATTTTGAGGTTAACCACCTTACGATGCAAAGGGAATGAGAACGAAAATTTTTGTTACGTTTTAATCAAATTGCTTTTACTGATATCAATTTAACTGTTTACTCATTGAATGTGAAAGATTATTTAAGGAAAAAAATGGATAATTTAAGCGTCTATTTATATTAATATATTACTCATCACAGTGTAACGACTGTAGGAGGAAGTTCCTCAAGCATAAATTGCTTATGAGTCTTTACTATATTATAGAATATAATGTCGCTATCCTCGAGAAGTATAAATACATTGCTTATATTACTTATCTTATTTAGCAAATTATAAAATAGTCGTACAGATAGGCAATGCTCGAACGATAAAAACAAAATAATATTATACAATGTTATGCTGTAATAAAATATTTATAATCGAGGAAGTTATTACGTCGTACGAACAGTTGACGTGCCGATCGTTGCAGAAAACGATCGATAAGTTCCCCGAAAGTTTACAGTGTGACTCGCAAAAGAATTCCCGTTTTCTGCCCCTTATTTAGGGGCCACGGAGTGTCCACGAGGATTTCCCCACGTGGAAAAAAGAATTTCAATTGTTCAAGAGCGAGAAAGCAAATGTGAGGCTGTCTCTCTCGATTCCCACGGGACGGTCCGAAATCACTTCGGGCAGCTTCGGAGAATCGAGAAAGAGGGCATGTGTCAGTTTGTCTTTGTCGACTCTCCGAAACTGTACGAGCTCACGTACGCGTGATCTGGCATAGTGTGAGAAAGTGGTATGAGGTGTCCCTGGTGCACCGTCTGGCATCTCTGAGGTCACGTGGTTGCATCTGGCGTGACAGCCGAGTGCAGAGTTGACGCAAACACAATCCGAAGCAGAAATTTTCCGATTAGTACCGACGAAAAATAGTATAACGAAAAAGTCAATTTTATTTGAACAAAACATTGGTAGTAAATATTTTTGTCCGTCCACAAAATGACACACGTGGAACGTGGAAAAAAAATGGGATCAGATATGCAGTTTATATGATATATTTATTAAAACTTCAGCGACACTTATTTTGTGTAGCCCGTAACAATAAAATAACAGTAAACGTTCAGCCGTGTCTTATTGCAAGAGCGAGAGCTTTTGGATTTTGGTCCTGGATCGCAGTCCTGCAGTGCGCCACTGTGTTCGATGCACTGTTGCCAACTGAAAGACGCAAAACTAGAGCGTTTCAGAGAAAGGTTAACGAAAAGGTTACCTCTTAATCTCGCTGCCCTCTGCACTCCGAGATTCAACTCCTTCAGGTTCGCGGTTAGGTCTCTGTAACTTTTCATTCTGATCTCGTGCTCCCTGACCAAGTCCACGTTGACGTTCTTCAGTTGCACCAACCTCTTCCTCATCTCCTCGACGTTTTCAAGAATCCTCGCGTCCTCTAAACGAATTATGATGCTTTTCAACAGAGTGGTTTCGCTGGCCGCCTCTGCCTGCAGCCTTATGTCGATTTCTTTCAAGTCTACGACAAAACACACAACTTCTTAGCAGCATATGCTGAAACAAGAACCTGTTAAGTTACCTTTGACGCGTTCCAACGCGTCCAGCATCTTGCTCTCTTCCGCCGGGAACGTGACTTCCGAGGACAGCTCTCTGAGGCCCAAGTACATGGCCAACGATTGGATGATGTCACCCGCGAACACGGAGTCTTCTGTTTGAATAGTCACCTTTCCGGCTGGATCTGCCATGAAGCAGTGAACTTTTTGGTCCCTCATCCCACGAAGCCACAGCTCGATGCCTCCGCTGTTGGGTCCGTCGTCCTTAACTTCGAATTCTTTCGGCAGTATGAAACTTTGGTTCAACCAGAGGGCGATCCTTTGAGACCTCTCTGCAAACTGAATAAATAATACTGAGATGAGACACTCGGTATCCCTCTAACGCTGCTAGTACAAAGATCTAACGTGATCACCAAACCAATACCTCAGCCGTAACACCGTTTTTCATAAAATCCTCCGCTATCTGCCCTGGCTTATCGATGACCTCGTACATGCAAAACCTGGGCAACTGGCGCGTCATCTCGAACACCTGTTGAGCCCAGTAGGCAGTGAAATTACAACGTTAACGTCTTTGTCCGTGCTGGGGAGTCTTTGTCCCCTACCTGCATCAAGTCTGCGCCAGCTGGACCAACGCACACTTTCACGTGCATGTCCACAGGGGCGTTTTTGGCGGGACGAAGCTCTATTTCGAGTTCCCCCCTCGGTTTGATAGGATGAATGACCAGAGTCTCGCCTTCGAACACGCCTTCGGTGAAGACTATTGCGCAGTGGATCTGAAGACGACCATTTTTAACGCCATATTTGTTAACCTTAAAGTCTATCGGAGAAGTAGAGTAGATCACGACTGACTAGAAGTCCTGGTCCTGATGCTAGGGCTACTCGTGCAGCACCGTTAGCTGTCATTAAGCTGACTGCCAATTTCGTTCGATGGTACATGTTAGGAACGGACGCTGCCCTTTGTCGTAGCTCCATCTGCAATGCTTGTTTCTTAGCCAGCAATTCGCGCATCGCCTCGCCCGGTTCTGGAGTGTCCATTGTGGAACCAGCGCCATAGCCCCGTACTGCAATCGATAAACAGTCAAATTATACTTTATATTACTGTATTTATGAAGCAAGAACGTGACGAGTACCTTCACCGGTGGTGGACACTACGACCAAGTCGGGTTTGCCAAACCTCCTGTAATCAGCTTCCACGATTCCAGCCACTCCGGACGATAATTGAATTTTGAAGATCACTTCGCCGTTATTGGACGATCTTGCGTCCACTTTCCCATTGTTCCACCCGGTTATAACCTCCGGCGTGCCATCTCCATTAACGTCAAAGCTCCTTGTGACTACCACCCTGTGTTTCGACTGGAAAATTTAGAAAATCGAATGATTCGTTCAACAATCCACACGCTTACGACTCACTTTAACGCGCCAAAGTCTCTGGCCCATTTCGTAAACACCCAGGGTCCCATTCCCAACCGAGTACACGAACCTCCTATCGGGGAATCCGGTTAAGGTAGTGACTGGAGCCGTCTCCTTAGCCTCCCAAAGTACATTGTCCTCTTTGTACACCTTTATTTCGAAGTCGTCGGTACCAGTGACCAGCTGGAAATTCAAACCACCATCAAAGATCAGAACCTCATAGATCCTGGGGATTCTGGAACATTTACTTCGTTCTCGTTGTCCCCGTCGAAGTCAAAGACAGCTAAGGAGCTGACAGTGCCTTCCACTACTGTCCAAAATATTTCCGTGCCATGTTGGTCCAAGATCGTCACTGAACAATTGCCACCGACGATCGCAACTTGGTTGGGAAGCCAGCCCAGTTTACTAATCATGATGCATCTGGCACCGTCTGACATCTAATGGATAAATTCTATAAATTTAACAATATTCGATCTTGTGTTTGGCAAGATTTGAGTACCTCCTTGTAGAACATATCGGCGTTATCCTCGATATGGTAGGCCAGAACGTGCGTCGCAGTACCAATTAAGAGAACATCCCTCTCATCTTCATTAAGCCGACCAGTGCACAGGGCCGTAATCTAATGATACATGCAAATATTGATTAACGCGTTATTCTAGATCTGTTAGGTGTACATCAAGCCTAGTCTGATACGTTCGTGGCTAATTTCAAATTTTCCAATTTTACCTCCGCCCCTATTTGAAGTTCCGCCAGTTCCCCGCTCCAAGACAACTTTCTATCAGATTGTTCGTGATCCTGACCCTTTATTTGCGGTTGCCTGTGAGGGCTGTGCACGAGTATGTTACCGCCAAACGTTGCCACCGCTAAACAAGCGTGGGAGCCATCGAATTTGCCGCAGGCTACGAGGCCAGACTCCACGTGTTTCTGTATATTCAGAGAAAACGCTGCCATTTTAAAGCCATATAGGTTACCTCATACTCAACTGAGCAGAGCTGACTCATTGGGTGGTGGGTTATTGATCCTACCCCTGTTATACCTATGAATCTTTACCTACTGCATTTAACTATACCTATTGCCACTGTACAGTTGTAGCTTTATTTCCGAAAGGAACGAAAACGATTTCTGGTAGAAATAATAAATCGGGAAACGGGAGGAAATTTAATTAAGTCGTAGAATTTATTTAGGAGAAGGTACAGTTATTGATCATTACAACTGTAATTACGAATGTACATCATAAATTTTTATAAATAAACTCTTCCCACACGAACACACTCAGAGACACACTGCACAGTTTCTGCATCACTGTCTTTGGGCACTGCCACCTGCCGCTCCACCAGCTTCTGGGTTTGTTGCAGACGACAAAACAATAAAGATGAAAGCAAGGAAAATGTACATCCACTGAAACATAAAAATAATAATGCATAAAAAATTACAAATTTTTTTTTTTTTCAAACAAAAAGACTTACATATCTTGAGAGATAAGGTCTGTTGTCTTTGGCTTCTCCCCTTTCCCTTGCTTCTCTTTCGCGCACTAGTTTCTGAATGTATGTAGCGGTATCAGGAACCGGTCCACCATCTGGGTATTTAACAATAACATTAGTGGTCCACATATTTGTAAATGGACTCTCCAGGCTGCAAGGACCTGGTGATGTTTGGCTCACAACTATTGGCTCTGCTGCACTGTCCAGCCATATAGTTATGACATCTTCAAGGTCAGAACCAAGAAGATAACACTATACACGGAAATAAGATTTTAAGTAACACACAAATATTATCTGCCACAAATAATAGCGGAAGTACAATTACCGCGGGTACAGAAGTTAGGAATGTTATCTCGTTTCCTGAAGAAGTTCGAGCCACAGCTTTAAGTCTATACTTGCCATCATTTTTGGCAAGATTTTTCAGTTCATTTATGTGAGGCTGTAGAAGTCCGTTTTGCCCAACAACGGACGCACCACTGCGTACGCTGGAAACCGTGACGTTTCCTCGTTCTATGTAAATCGGTTCTGGCTCGTCGTTAAACGCGTGCCATAACCTCAACTGCAACCATCCGTCATAGTCCAGCTCGCTCTAAAATTTGATGGATCGTTTTGTTAGCGTACGACAAATTATTTTCAATAATTGTACCTTTAAAACTATACTAACCCCACGAGCTAATGACGATACACTGATCAATAAACTTATACAGAAGTATATCAAGTGCATTTTTATAATTGTTTATCTTCTATGAGGTAAACGCAAAGTCAAATCGATCTCATTTTTACAATAATGATGTGTTTTACGACTTATCTATCAATATTTGGTTAACGGAACATGTAAGTTTTCGCACTATGGTATATGACATTAACAGTCAATGTGCTGACGTTTAGAAAATGTAACTATTTAAATTTTTGTACGACCATCAATCGTATTTATTGAATTCTTTTATTAAATTTGATGAATCATTCAGGCTTGCCTCTCTAAAATTATTAAAAAAAACCTCATTGATCGTCAAAATTATACAGGACATAATAATACATTAGCTTTTCCACAATTTCATCGTTTTATTGGTCAGTGTCTAGTGAAAATTAACGTGCAAAAGTATACGGCACGTTGTTCTGACCAATCATTTTGTTTTACACCGTATTTACGGCCATGGGGATTTTCCTAGTGAGTTTAACGTGGCGCATTCCTGCGTTCGTTTTACGAACTATTTCGTTTGGGGAATACCTAGCGCAGGAAAATATACTATAAAAGTTTCAACAGTTATGGATTCATATTTATTTATTTATTTTATTTGCAATAAAATCAATTGATTATTCAAAGTTTACTTCCCGATCTTTATACACTGTCATTTTTATATGTAGAAATTTCCAAGGGAATTCTAGTAATTATATAGTGCATTAGTCGAAACTTGTTTGGGGCACTACTTGCGTGAAGTACAATGGAGAGTCAAAGACTTTGAAGCTTTGTCGGTGGCAGTAATGGTAGTTAAACATTTTAAAACAAAAAATTACAGGAGAAGAACAAGAAGAAGGCAGTTTATAGTGTGAATCGAAACGTTTAACAGGAAGTTATAGTTTATAGCTGGTGAACAATATTCTTCAATGTATGTTTGTTTACCATAACTGTAACTTAGTAATATGTAATATGATATTTGAACTCTTTTGCAGTAAGACAGTATTTACTACCATTTTGTTTATTTATAATGTCCATTAATGTTTGTTTCAGATGGGTGACAAAGATCCAACAAGTGTTATACAAATGATAAAGGACTTAAAGTCAGGATCAGAAGCATTTCGTAGAAATAGCAGTAGCTTGGCATTGAAATTATCTGGGACTACATTCCCATCTATTAGTGATCAAGATGTGTGTAATAGTACACCTAAGAGGAGAAGACTTGATGATTCCATTAACACAAGTAAAGACAGTGACACAAAGAGTGTTCCAAATAGTCCATGGGAATGGAGAAGATTAAAGGGAGAGGTGATTATACTTTTGTCAATAATAATGGTACATGGGTAGGCTGAAGAGTAATGCAACTGGATGAACAGAAAAGATGGAAACAAGTTTCTATTACTGTTTCATAGATAGATGGTTTTGCTAGTAGTGTAAAGTATCACTTTTGTTCTACATGCTCCAATTACTTTTCAGCCAGCCTATACGCGAATATGTAAAAACTAAAAAGAATTTAAAAGCATTTACATCTGCTTGTTTAGGTCATATCATTAAAGACAAGGCTGTCTCATCAGGAAGCTGCTGTAGGAAAGCTTCATAACATACGTAGAGAAATGGAAAGTATTTTTGAGAAGGAGAAAAGTATTTTAGAAATGCAGTCGGAGCAGGATAAACAAACTATCAAACAGTTGGAAATAAGACTCGATATCGCACGCAGAACAATTCAGGATGCGCGCGACGCGCAGACATTGGCCGAGAAAGAATTATTTGAGGTTAAGACGAATTTGGAACAAAAGGTGTTGATGCTAATGAACGAAAATTCAAAATTATTGAGCGATATCAAGAATTCTTCCGTGACGGAAAGTGCGCCAACGCCGAAAGATGTCCCCAATATATCGGACGCGGAACCGAGATTGGAAGCGGCGCAAGCAAGAATAGCGCAGTTAGAGGAGAAGCTGAAAGAATCTCAGGCCAAGCAACAAGAAATGGAATTGCAAAACGTGGATATGCAGAATATGAAAATAAAAATCGAACGATTGGAATCGGAACGGGCGTTATGGGAGGAGGGTAAAATATTAACAGCGAGGGCAGCAAGAGCAAACGAGCTCGAAAGAGAGCTCCATGCAGCAAAGGAAACCATTAACTCGTTGAGAGAATCGGTCAGGGGAAAATTACTTTTGGAGGAACAAATGGCCAGCGTGACGAAAAGATTGGAGCATACACAGAAAGTAGAGCAGCAAGTTGCCTCGTTGGAGGTAAAAAATACGGAACTTTCGTTGCGTCTGTCCGAGTATGAGTCGATCGGAATAACCGGCGGCTCGTTTGCTTTGAAACGGGAGTTGAATCGATTGCAACAGGCCGAGCTGGTGTTGAAGGCGGAAGAAGGACAGATGAGATCGAAATTGGACGCCGCTCTACGGGAATCCCAGTGTTTGTCGAAGAATTATGAGGAGATTAAAAAATTGGTCACGGAGGTAACGATTTCCAAAGAAAAATTGAACAAATTGGTGAGCAGATTGCAAAAGAAAATGATTCTGGTTACGAGAGAGAGAGACAGTTATAGGCAGCAACTAGACATGTACGAGCAGGACATAACCGTAGATAGCAACAATGCTATAATCGAAAGAATTCCTGCACTGGAACGCGCCATAGATGCTTACAGGTAATTAGAAAATTATATTTTAATCGGATGGCGATTTGAAAAGACATTTCACAAATTATTACGATCGTTTCGTACGGTTACGGAGAGTGTTCGTAATTCTAGGGAATTAGTTGCCAAATTAGAGTCCGATCTCCAAGCGGCCGAGGGTAACCATCAAATGGACGAGTGTCACAAGTTGAGGCAAGAAATAAATCGATTGAAGGGTGAATTAGAACATCGAGCGTTGAAAGGCGATTTTAATTGCAACGCGAGGGTGTTGCATTTCACTATGAATCCCGCCGCCATCGCGGAAGAGCAGGCGGAAGAAAAGCATAAGGCACTGTTACGCGAACTGGAAGAGCTAAGAGCGAAGGTGGCCCAAGGAGGTGCCAACACCACGACTTCCTCTCTTCAAGTACAAGGTAACTCAACGTTTCTTTTTTTTATTTTTCTTTGAAAACAATTCGATCGTATCATGTCCTTTTTTGGCTACCAACCGATTTTTACATTACAATAAACGGGGTATTCCTGTTTTTTTTTTTTTTTTGCCCGATGTTTGTGCGTTTAGAAATAGCGGAGCTCAAACAGACACACGAGATCAAGATAGCTCGCCTGAAAGAGGCCTTCAAAGCATCTTCGCAGGAGTATCGTCAAGCCTGTTATCAATTGTTCGGTTGGAGGGTAGACAGAACTAAAGAGGGGCGATACAAATTGTACAGCCAGTACGCGGAATCGCCAGAGGACTTTCTCTTCTTTAATATCGGCGAAGAGGGGGTGGATCTTTTGGAAACCGCTTTCTCCGCGTCGCTTGTGCCGTTGGTGGAACAATACTTGCGACGACAACACAGCGTTCCCATGTTCCTTAACGCTGTCCAATCGGATTTATTTAGTCAGCAAACTATAACCAACGTTATGAGTTGATCTGTTTAATTCCCCGTTAAAGGAGTATCATTAATTAGGTTAACGCGAGTGTTTAGTACTTTTTGGAATCAATAAACGGCCATATTGTTTTTCATCCATATTTCCACCTTTACTTTGAAGCTTCATCAGTGATCAACATACCGAGTGTAATAGTCATTTCAGCTTGGCTTCACGTCGGTGCACAGACATTACCAAGGCATTACGCGCTTCGTTCGCCAGTAGTTCCTCGTTTCTCGTGAACACGTTTGAACGGAACACCATGTTCAACCGCGTGTACCAAACGCAGGTACTGCGCCATCATTATTCGCTTTACTTGTCACGGGATCCACTCGATTCGCGGAACGACGAACGAAATTGTTAGTAATAATACGATAGATGCATATTGCGGTGCAGTTATTAACATGAGTGAAGTTATCTCGCATATCTGTTGAAAGATTTTGTAGTTATGGTCTAGGTTAGGTGTTCCACATACAAGTTTCAAAGATATTTAGCGTAATTCTTAGTACTTTGCTAACATTTTTTAAGTCACAACTTTTGTCAGAATCTATTAAAATTGCGACAAATGTTACATTAACGTGTCTAATAAATAATTATTATTTCCCATGCTCTAAACTTCAGTTATTTCAAACACATTTGACTAACCATTATCCATCATTGACTGATCACAAATCAAAATAAAAGTTCATTGAAATCTTCGGTTATTACAAAATTAATTGCCGATTTGTGATATCACAATCTTTTGGAAGCATATATAGACTTACTTTCGTCGAAAACTTTGTCTCTCTGGAGCCAGGATTTCGGTTATTCCTGTATCCTTTAACCCCTCTGAGTTCCAACTGACTTCTGCTAACCTCAACCTTACTGCAACAGATAACGTATTTACTTATGTATTATATTTAATTTTTTGTGCTTTAACCGTTTGCTCCTTTTATTTGTTTATTATTATAAATGTTCTCTTCATTCTTAACTAGGTATTACATTGAACGAAGAGGATTTAAAATAACATAGTACGCATCATCGTTTATTTCTCTTATTTTCTCATTATTTCTTGAACGTTAACGATTAAACTGCAACATCAAAAGAAGAGAACACGTGATATTTCGTTTGATCGTTTTCTATTTCCACTTACTCATTATTCCATGAGCTATGCCGACTTCTAATTAGGTATTATATTCAAGGAAGAGGATTCAAAGAAAATAATTTCGTCCAGTCGTTCACCCTTATAATTTGCTTATTATTTTACGAATCTCTCTGATTTTTCTATGGAGGTATTCGACAAAGGAGCAACATAAAATCGCGAAAAAATTACTAATTACGTACGTAGTTACATAATACGTTTAACGAAATGCAACGAAATACAGTAATACCTCGATTATTGCACGAGACCCCGTTAATTGCACGTAGTTGTCAAGTGGAGGGGATGGTTGCTAAGCAACAAAAAAGGTTAGAGGCGCTATGCACGAGCCATAAGCATTAATAGTTAAATAATTAAAATCCCCCAAAACCAAAAGGTGGCTTTTAACTGGAAATAATTGTTATCGCGAATTATATTACACTCAGAGAATAATTTCCTATAATATATTGAGCTATTCTTGTAATTCGAGTGCAATAACCCCCAAAATCAGGGCAGACCCTGCTAGTCCACTTAACTGCAAAACTAACTTAAGATATGCTGGAAATTTATGTGAAATCGATGCCTGGGGGGCAAAGTAATAGTGGTCACTGTCCGATTACTGTTAAGCAATTGATACTATTGAAACTAAGTTGGGGGTGTGGGGAGGGTGCCACCGTTACGGGAATCCAGCATTTAACGCGAGAAACAGTACCTCTGCCTCTATAACTTGGGGATTTCCTACCGGACTTTAGTTTCCCTCTGTGTGCCTCGAATAGGTCGGATCTCGAGACAGACCGCGTTAATCTCGCGTCCAATTTCATCGGCACACGGAACTCCAAACTTCCGCAAAAGAATCGTCCCGTTAACGTGGCCAGACTTGACCATACGTTTGCTTGCTTTTACCGCCGACGAGCTATAGGATAACGCCCTACGTTCAATGGGAGTTTCTCTCTGCGAAAAGTATCGACCTTGCGTAAATTCAGGGATCTTGGAGTATACTCCACGCTTTAGGAAAATCAAATATCCGCGAGAAACACCTGTTTTTGATTCTCATCGATCCCTTTTTTCATTTCTCGATATATTCGATCAAGCTCCGTTTGTAAATTCGAGACATCTACCCCCCCGTGTAACTATTGGAGTCTAAGCCTAATTGGAGGATCTTTTGTTTGTATGAACCCGCGCGAAGATCCTCTCGTAGCAAGAACCGAATCATCCATCTCAATTATGTCGTAATTTCTCCGCGAAACGAGCCGTCGAAAGCACATCCGTTGAAGGGTGGGGGGCTTGAACTTTTCGAATTCTTATCGCGTGGGTAAAGCCAAGACGACGGAACATTGCGATGGAGGATCGCGGCTGGAGCCTTCCTCCAGCCATCCCCGGGGATCCGTTACAGCGCTTCCAGTAACCCTACGTGTCTGGGAAAGCAGCTGGAATCCCCGAAGAGCGATTCCAATTGCATTGTCCGTCGGGGAGCGGTGGGTGGTAGTCTTCATTAGCGGCTGAGTCACCCGGCAGAACTTATGAGACACCGAATTGAACGTGTAGGTACACATGTCCCTACATACGTGCCGCGCGTATTTATTATCACACGTGCGGGGATAAATAATCAAACAGAGAGGCAGGTTTGGAAGACCGTGCAAAAGGGAATAGCCTTTCATAATTAAAGGGGAACCTCTCTCCTACTGTACACAGAGATATTTCTTTGGGCCAGAACTCGTTTTACGGGTCTTTGTAGTAAAGTTAGCTCAGGATCTTCTTTCCCACTGGCGCAGTATTTTCTCGATTTCATCGTCAAGAATTGTCAACGATTTAATACTTCGTTACTGATCGTTAGGACTATTGTTAATTGCAACGTTTCTTGTTGCGGAGGAGTGATTGTTAGTGCGTCCCACAGGGACCAATAATATGGGGAGTATCGAGACGTCTCTCCCGGTTCTAATAGGTTAGGAAACGAAATCTGGGGTGTACTGTTCGTTAGCTTAATGTGCCTATTAGGAACTGATAAAAGGAATCTACCGAAGTTGTTTGATTAGGGGTCGAAGGCAGAATTGGGATGGCGTCCATGTGGTGGCCATATTGGAGCATTCGTCAGTCTGAGGATCTGGACCAACTGTCAATTTATTTCCTCGCTATGTCCACGCTGGGGCCTTTTTCGTGGGCAGAATCCTTCAGAAACGATCTTATTCTTGTGAACAACCCCCCTAACATTCGATGATCCCTTGACAATAAACCATTGGTACTATTTTGCATAGACTGTTCAGTCATGTGGCATAAATTCCTTAAAAATACTTAAACGCCATCTAAACTACCACCATGGAACTAAAGAACTTAATCCTTAAGTTGAGACGTTGGATATCAGAGTTTTGGTTTATAAGAATAAGTACTGAACAAAATGTTAGGTTATGTAGTTTAAAATGATCTAAATTCAAAATTTATTAATATCGTTCGGGGTTGATCTGTCATCCTAAGAGGTTGTTTACGATTTGCAAAAATTGCTAAAACACCGTACATATGGTAACGTTCCGACTCTCGTGGAACAAGTTCTTTCGCGAGGAGGGGGCGGCACGTGTACGTCAAAACAGTATGAAACACGGGGGACGTTTTGTACGTGCACACGAACCAGAGAAACTAGGTGACCAAAAGCATTTTCGGGGACGGCCGTGCACGCTGGCTGACGACAGGAACTCGATATAACGGCACCAGCTGCGAAGGGACTCGGAGTCCAGGGGAACTCCCGCGCCGAAACTCCATTATCCTTAATCATAATCGCGTTTAATCGCAAACTCATCCAGTTCCCTTCCATATGTGCGCCAGTTCCACGTTGTGCAGCCTTAACTCGACCGTCGAGGCCGCCACAACCCCGGTTATCAATCTGAAATCAGCCGGGATGTGTCCTTTTTGCTGACGTTCTGGAACGCTTCTTCCTCCTGCAATTAATGGTTATCGAATCAGGCTAAATCCTGATCCTCGTTAGGGCAAGTTTTGCTTCCCATTTTGGCTCGCTTCTTCGGAAATTAGATCGATCAAACGACTAGGTGTATTTCCATCAAAATGGCGGATCGAACAGACGATACAGGGAACATAGAAAATGGGCCTCGTGTAAGTTTATACGAAGAAGATTGTCTACCCAACACGCGAGGCAACGCTAATTGTTGCTTCCCCAAAGAATTTCTCAGACCCGTGTAAACAAGTTTCCAGGCCATTTAGCTGCCCGGAGCCGATCGTCGAGTCTTTTGTTCGCGAAATTTATTTTAATTGCAATGATCTCCGGATTGATACCCAACTTCCACGAACGCTTTACCAATACGAGCGTGCGGTATTCCAAACTTTTTAATGGAACTTTCGCGAGTGTAATTGCGTTTCGAAGCAGTATAATTAACGCGTAACAATTCGACCCACCCGCGCAGCCGGTGGCGTGCAAAGTAAATACCTTCGCTAATTTCTGAATCTCACAGCGTGGGGCGGTGACAGCCCCGTCGGGAATTACTGGCCCGCGTTATTACGTTTTTTTCACCGGCGTCGAGTATTCCTTCGATATTAGGGTTCTACGTCACTTAACCGGGACGGTAATTGCACGCAGAAGACTGTTAAACGAATGGTTTATTCCGCGATGGTACGTTTGGAATGGAAGAAACGTTGGGAATGACAAAATGGCGCGCATGACCAGGTTACACCATGTAACATGGACTCGAAATTAGGGGTTGGTTAGCGTCGTATTAACTACGTGATTATTAGCGACGAAAAATTTAAAGTTTTCTCTTTCATCGTTTTCGAGGTTAGATTTGATCGCCATCTTGTGTTCGCCATCTTGTATTTGCCGCGCAGTGCATTGTGGAAGAAGCGCGTCTACAATTCCCAATCTCATACCGATCAAATGACTTATTTCCTCGGAACTCGTACCAAAACTGGTCATTCTCGTGTACTTGTTCGTTACAGACGAATCGATGAGAAAAAGCGGATCGCGCGAAAGTCGATAAGCGCAAATTACACGGCGGGTGGACAGACGGGGGTCGCGAACTATCCGAAAGGAATGAAACTTAAGTCATTGTCGCGGAGGGACAAGTGGAATTCAAAGAAACTCGGATAAAGCGAGGGGGGAGGGGGGGGGGGTTCATGGAACGGGGTAAACGAAGCTCCCCCATTTGCAAAGTTCGACCCTCGACGGAAAGAGTGTCCCGATAAGCTGAAACTTTCATGCTCCGGGAGTGTAAACTTCTTTAATGGCCCGATGCGTGCCACGAAAATTTTATTGATTCGCTTTAATCGCGGAATTTACGCGTTCGTTAAAGTTCGGATCGAAGTTTTTGCCACCGCGGCGTCGCAGCGGCGATCTA